TTTTACATTACAACCACAAACTTCAGTGAAGTGCTGTTTTACAATTTAGGTTAACTTAGAAAGAGAAACCTTAAAGTTTAATATATATATGTGTTCAGCTGCCAGACATTACTCCTAACTTATACCAGAGGTTCAAAATACAAATAGTAGACATAGTTTACCATAAGTGAGAATTGTAAAGGAGCTTCACTTAAATCATTCTAATCATTTATAGAATAGCAAATCTGATTCAAACTTCAACAAGCACTCAAGGCTCTACTGATTTTTAACTTTTTTATTAACTGTTCCAGAAATTGACATCTTAGATAAATACGTTATTGGAGTTGATAAAAAAAAAAAAAAAAAAAAAGATTTCTCAGTTTAAGCTTCAAGAGCAGCTTCCCGTTTGTATTGGAAAATTTTTTGAAAACTTCTGCTTTAACAGACCACTTCCCCCAGTAGCAGAAACTTTAGAGAGACTTCCAAGCCAACAGAAATAAAACCTTTCCACAGAGGCCGCAGTCTGTGTCGCTTTGATTCTGTCTGCTATGGAGACGAACCGCTGGGCGTCACGAGGGGCCAGATGGAGTGTCTGCTCTGGGTCTGTTAGTTGGGTCTAGAGACGTTCCCTCATAAACAACCTTGTTCCGGATGCCCTCCTGTATGACCCTCTGCTGCACCCGTAGCTTAGCGTTGTTCATTCTGCAGTAAAACCTGAAATGACACAAAAAGGTGAAAAAACAACTTTTCTTTTCGACAGGGAAACGTAATAATCCCAGAGAATATACCAAAACCCGAGAGTGGTGAGCATGAAGCCCGCAAAGCCGACGTCAAAGGAGCGCCTCACTCGACCTGATGACAGCAGGAGAGAAAGAGTCTGAGTCATCAAGTACAGCTCATTTTTACTGAAATAAATATGTTTTTATTAAAGTCAATGAATGATTACTAGAGATGCAAATCTTTTTAGATTCAGAAACCATTTTTAATTCAGAAACTTTTTTTTCAAATGGTATGTTTGTATATTATGCTACTGACAAGTAGAAAGGAAGTGTAAAGATTTATTTAAATCAATTCTAGAAAGTTTCATACTGAATCAAATTTCAGCAGTTTAGACTTCAACAAAAGTACATTTGTGTATAAATTCTCTAAGCTTTTGTCTCAGGGTTTCCCCCAGTGTATTATAGGCCTGGCGGCCCGCCATGCTTTACTAGCGCCACCGCCAGGCTAAGCCTTTCTTTTTTTCTTCTTCTCTCTCTCTCTCTCTTTTTTTGTTTTTAGGAAAATAAAATAATAATAATTTAAAAAATCGCCTTTTTTAAGCCGGATTGCGAGCGTCTCTTGCTTTGAGCTTTTCACTATCGGAGCAGATTTATTGCTAAAAGATATGTTTATAGAAGGTAGGTTTATAGTTTATGCATTCAAAGCCGACAGCGCACCGACCTCGCGCGCTGCAGCAGTAGCTCTAAAGTTTACCTCAGCCCGGATCGCGCGCTCCTCCTTTCACTCGAACTGGACACAGGCTGACCTGAATGGATATTTATTTCAACCCCCTGGGAGGAATTATGATCAGTTATGAGGAGTTATTGATTAAGGTAAGAGTTTAAACCTCACCATGGTTGCGCAACTCTACGTGAACCGCAGGAATAACATGTAGTCGGGCTTTCAGTGGTGCTTTGAGCGAGCGGTGAGAATGTTTTATATTTGTGAACAAAACATTATGCGGCGTTTACATCTCAACACGCTTCCCAGCGTTTGGCCCTGTCTTCCATGTAAAGTTTATGTCTGTGTTCCCGGTTGGCCGGTGCGTTAGCGGTTAAAGACCCAGCGCAAATCACTCATCGTGCAGGTTTAACCCGGTGAGAAGCTTTCTCACTCTCCTCGCATTCACGCAACAGGCTGATTTTATATTATTTCATTATTATTACCAGCAGAGGCGCAAAAAGTGGGTATGCAGCGTATGCAACGCATAGGGTCGCAGCACCAGAGGGGGCGCCAAAATCCCGTCTGGAGGGGGCGACGTGCCGATTATGTTTTCCCATACAGTTCAGCGCGCCTCACGCTCTTTCACCTCTCGCGGGGGAGTTGAGCGTCGGTCCTTCACCCTGAAGTTCCTTCCCTCAGAGGGGGGCCGATTTATGTTTTCGCATCCACCTGAATAATGTGCAGTTGCGCCACTGATTACCAGTATTATTTTTCCGGTTACACAGTGCACCAAATCGTATCAAATGCTTTGTCTACTTAGTCAGACAGAGTGAATGCGCGCGGTCACCGGACATCTGAAAAACTCGTCCATAAACTCGACCAACCACAATAGTTTCTGTCTCCTTGTTAAAAACTCAACAGACACGAAAGGAAAGAGCTATTAAAGCCACATTAGCAGCATTGAATTAAATCTCCCGTTTGTTGCTCATCTCTGCGCAATGCAGCGGGTTTAACTCATCATGCAGGGCCGGTCCAAAGCTGTATGTCATATTCTGTCTGGAGCAGAATATCACTTAGGGGCCCCTTTTGTTGCTAAAAACATCAGCACCTCTAAACAGATTCTGTTAGACTTAGTGAAATCTAAGACAGGGTGAGTAGTTTAATTGGCAAACCTGAAAAGCACTAAATTATAATTGCTGTTTACTAATTTGTATTTGTGAACAAAGAGCTGAAACTCAAAGATTAAACTCACAGCATTAGGTGGTTGCTAATGGTAACAAACCAATCTGACTATGGATATTGTTCTTTGAACTTTTACAAAATAAACTTGCCAGCTCCTTAAAATCTTACATATAAATGTTAAATAATTTAAAATCTTTTAATTTATGTATGCTGAAACCATTATGTCAAATTCAGCAGCATTGCTAATCTCAAACAAATGCAACATTAATACAGGTCCTTCTCAAAAAATTAGCATATTGTGATAAAGTTCATTATTTTCCATAATGTAATGATAAAAATTAAATTGTCATATTTTAGATTCATTGCACACCAACTGAAATATTTCTGGTCTTTTATTGTTTTAATACTGATAATTTTGGCATACAGCTCATGAAAACCCAAAAGTCCTATCACAAAAAATTAGCATATTTCATCCAACCAATAAAAGAAATGTGTTTTAATACCAAAAAAGTCAAGTTTCAAATAACTATGTTAAGTTATGCATTCAATACTTGGTCAGGAATCCTTTTGCAGCCTTCAATGCGGTGTGGCATGGAGGCAATCAGCCTGTGGCACTGCTGAGGTGTTATGGAGGCCCAGGATGCTCCGATAGCGGCTTTAAGCTCATCCAGAGTGTTGGGTCTTGCATCTCTCAACTTTCTCTTCACAATATCCCACAGATTCTCTATGGGGTTCAGGTCAGGAGAGTTGGCAGGCCAATTGAGCACAGTAATACCATGGTCAGTAATACCAGTGGTTTTGGCACTGTGAGCAGGTTCCAGGTTGTGCTGAAAAATTAAATCTTCATCTCCATAAAGTTTTTCAGCAGATGGAAGCATGAAGTGCTCCAACATCTCCTGATAGCTAGCTGCATTGACCCTGCCCTTGATAAAACACAGTGGACCAACACCAGCAGCTGACATGGCTCCCCAGACCATCACTGACTGTGGGTACTTGACAATGGACTTCTGGCATTTTGGCATTTCCTTGATACAGACTCTGGTACTTTGATTTCCGAATGACATGCAAAATTTTCTTTCATCCGAAAAAAGTACTTTGGACCACTGAGCAACAGTCCAGTGCTGCTTCTCTGTAGCCCAGGTCAGGCGCTTCTGCTGCTGTTTCTGGTTCAAAAGTGGCTTGACCTGGGGAATAAGGGACCTGTAGCCCCTTTCCTACACACGCCTGTGCACAGTGGCTGGATGGATGGATGGATGTTTCTACTCCAGACTCAGTCCACTGCTTCCGCAGGTCCCCCAAGGTCTGGAATCGGCCCTTCTCCACAATCTTCCTCAGGGTCCGGTCACCTCTTCTCGTTGTGCAGCGTTTTCTGCCACACTTTTTCCTTCCCACAGACTTCCCACTGAGGTGCCTTGATACAGCACTCTGGGAACAGCCTATTCGTTCAGAAATTTCTTTCTGTGTCTTACCCTCTTGCTTGAGGGCGTCAATGATGGCCTTCTGGACAGCAGTCAGGTCGGCAGTCTTACCCATTATTGCGGTTTTGAGTAATGAACCAGGCTGGGAGTTTTTAAAAGCCTCAGGAATCTTTTGCAGGTGTTTAGTTACACTTCGTTGATTCAGATGATTAGGTTAATTGCTCGTTCAGAGAACCTTTTCATGATATGCTCATTTTTTGAGATGGGAATTTTGGGTTTTCATGAGCTGTATGCCAAAATCATCAGTATTAAAACGATGAAAGACCTGAAATATTTCAGTTGGTGTGCAATGAATCTAAAATATATGACAATTAAATTTTTATCATGACATTATGGAAAATAATTAACTTTATCACAATATGCTAATTTTTTGAGAAGGACCTGTATATCTGTGGTCTGTGTTAAAATATTAGCATTTATGGGGCCCCTGAAGCCCTGGGGGGCCTGATGGAGCTGCTGACTTAATTTGGATTTAACAAAAGTGGAAATAATTTATATTTATTTTAATTGTATTTTTTGATTAGTTGTTTTTAAGACTAGTTGTGGGTTTATATAGCAGTTCACTGGCAATGTTTTCCCATAGCATATAATTACCCAGTGATATTTTTACTTTTTCGGTCTACTTAACATCTTTTAATAGAAAAACATGGTGGACCCCCTCGGAGTCCTGACCACCGGGCTTAGCAAGTTTTCTGGGGCTTAGCCCAGAAAACTTGCTAAGCTGTTCCGTACGTAAGCTGTTCCGTACGTACGTACGGAACAGCTAAGCTAACCTAATACGTACATACGTACATACATACATATGTACACTGCTCAAAAAATAAAGGGAACACTTAAACAACACAATATAACTCCAAGTAAATCAAACTTCTGTGAAATCAAACTGTCCACTTAGGAAGCAACACTGATTGACAATCAATTTCACCTGCTGTTGTGCAAATGGAATAGACAACAGGTAGAAATTATTGGCAATTAGCAAGACACACTCAATAAAGGAGTGGTTCTGCAGGTGGGGACCACAGACGACTTCTCAGTACCTATGCTGTCTGGCTGATGTTTTGATCAGTTTTGAGTGTTGGTGGTGCTTTCACACTCGTGGTAGCATGAGACGGACTCTACAACCCACACAAGTGGCTCAGGTAGTGCAGCTCATCCAGGATGGCACATCAATGCGAGCTGTGGCAAGAAGGTTTGC